TTAGCACAGAGTAACTACAATGATGACATATTGTCTGATCTTTGTTGGAATTGACATTTTTATGGTCAAAAGTGAGACCTACATCGACATTAACTACATTAAGTACTTCACAGACTTAGAGAGAATTCACGAGTACAACTGGAGATAATCTTATTTGGTTTACCTCTATTCCAAGTTAGGTGAAGGTAGTTTATGGAAGAAGAGATAGATGACAAAAAGCAAGTGTTGATTTCAAATAATTTACTTTCACCCTTACTGATATTTATTTCACAATACTTATGCTAAACATTAACTAATATTTCATCTGAACCATTTTTAGGCATGGATCCTCCAACATTTTTCAGGTATCATTGATTGGGAGTTTGTTAACAACTACTATGATGATTTTCCATGTGCATGCTCGAGTATCCCACTCAGGGGTAATCCTTCGACTGAGTCATACAAGCTTGCTCTTGTCTGCATCCTGGCCGATGATATATATTTCACACCATAAAGTGGACATCGTCAGACATGGTTGTTAAAGATGATATTATAGTACTCTGAATGGCTAACTTATGGGTGTCGATTTATGTACGTGTATTTACTTGTGTGAGTACTGAGGCAGTTTGGATATTTGCAATGTATATCCACGAACCCCATAGTTTATGTGATTGTCATTATCCTCCACAGAGATGTCGATGTGGTATTTACAAACTACAATGAGCATTTGGTATTAGAGAATCTTGTAGTGTATCAGCTCCTTGTTCATGGAGTACGGTTTTAGTTATGACTTACTTATGTGTATGATTTACTGTGTGAATAATGAATGCATTGTCAAACGATATAAAAATGTCTTCTTATGTATTGTCAAGAGGTTCATAACATTATTCAGTGGTGTGTTTGGATTTTGAAATCCTAATCCACCATATTATTTTGAAATATAGACCCAGACAATGCATAATTTTTTTTCCAACAATGTGTCAAAAATTTGAAATCTATATTCACCCATGTGCTTAACGCACACAAGCAAAATAAATAGACAGTATTGTTCTAGGGATAAACCTGAAGGTTAATATCCAAACTATTTTTTACTTGGATAGAGGCGTCTTTTTAATAAAGAGAATTTTTGTATAGTTGATTAGTCCGAATTTCAAAACTCAAAGATACAAAAGGCATACTTGGATTTTCATTCGATTAGCGATTAGTGTATGGAATGTATTGAATACTACCCTTAGGTAAAACCACACATCATCTTGGATATGCTTTCAATTTTGTTGAAAAAAGATGTACTTGGGTTTGAAAATGCACATCCAGATAAGAAAAGATATGTATTGTATTCATGCGCATTTAAGAAATTTTTCATCTCATACCCTTACATCTATCTCTATACCCCTACATTTTATTAAAAATGACAACTTTACCCTTGTATATTTTTAACTAATTTACTAGTTTACTTTTAATATTCACTTGAGATTTTTGAAAAATTGCACCCTTTTAAAAGTGAACCGAAACACTTACAAAAAGACTTTTGGTACATATTGTCTGTGTGTCAGATAACTTATAAAATGAGTTTCGGTTTGTAATTTTTAACTGTTCGGAGAACTTGAAAAATGAGTTTTGAAAGTTAATTTAAAATTTTATTGTACCAAAACACTTGGCACAAGTATTTTGGTTTGTATTTTGTTGTCAACCGGAACTCTTTGTATTAAAACTTTTGATGTTCACTCTTTGTACACCATAACACTAATGTCAAGATGTCTGGTAGTCATTTTACTTAAAAAAATTTAACCGATTTTTTTGTTTCAGGTAAGGAAATTCCTTTACAAATATGTGATAAAAACCAAATATGTGTAGATACCTCTGATGCATTCTCAACTACAAAAAGATTTGAGACACGAGAAGTGGTGATAAGGTGGATTAAAGAGGTTGGAATCAGAAATAAAGTGAGGGTTATCATCACTCATTCAGATACCTAAACAGGCAAGAGCGAGAGAAGCAACAAAGTAATATTTGGTTGTGATAAAGATGGAAAATACAAGGATACAGATAGTGGAACACAAAATACGACCAAGAAATGTGGATGTCCATTCAAAATCAGGTCGACTCCAATGAAAAATGGCTCTAGATAGAAGGTTGGTGTAAAATATGGACTTCATAATCACAGATTACCTAATATATTAGAAAGGCATTCCTTTGTTGTGAGCTTGAGCACATATAAGATGTAACATGTTGTTGATTTAACAAAGAGACCGTTCCACCTAGACACATATTTTTGTCCTTGCAAGAGCAAGATCTGGAGAATGTCACCTGAATCACACGAGTATATAAGCATAAGAGTATGTTACAAAAAGAAATAAGAGGTCCTAGAAGTGAGATACAATATTTACATTAGCTTATAGAGGGCGCGAGCTATGTTTACTGGAGTGGAAAAAGAGATGACTTGGAAATTGTGAGAGATATTTTTTGGGCCCATTCAGATTCAGTTAACTTGTTGAATATGTTTACTATTGTGTTAGTTATGGACAACACTTACAAGACAAACTCTATTTGAAATTATTGGTGTGACATCGACTGAGTTGACATTTGGTATTGCATTTGCTTGTATGGAATCTGAGCAGACAAAGAACTTTTGCTAGGTGTTGGATAAGATGAAACTTTTTTTGTGAAGAAAGATTTATGTCCACTGGTGATTTTGACTGATAGACATCTTGCTTCGATGAAAGCAATTGAAGTTGTGTTTTCAAGGATGACTAAATTTCTATGTAGATTTCACATCAACAAATTGGTTCAAATCATAGGCAATATGTGGTGAATGCTATGCAAAAGACGATAGACACATTATGGATGGAAGTTGTATGGGCTAGTGATGAGGTTGAGTATGATCAACGGTTGCAAAATTTTGAGCAAACATGTGTATATTTTAGTGAATTTATTGATTATATAAAAGACACATGGTTTACTCTTCATAAACATAGATTTATTGAAGCTTAGATTAATCGAGTGCTACATTTGGATAACACCGCGACTAATAGGTATGTTTACTAGTATTTTAATGATTTATTGTTTTTGAGTTGGTATGATTTTAAGTTTGGTTTATTTTAGAGTTGAGTTTGCTCATTGGAAGTTGAGGCAGAAGTTGGGGAACAGTATAGGTGGGTATGGAAGTTGAGTTGGAGGTAGATGTTGATGATGGATCACATGTGGATATGAGCAATGCAATAGATGAATTGTGGAAAATGTTTAAGTCACTAGAAGTTGTTGGAAAAAGAGCATTAAAAGCAGGGTTCATGAGCTTGCTTACCCCACAACGACTTCAATGTGTCCACCACCTGAGAAATTAAAAACCAAAGAAGAAGTGAAGAAGGAAGGGAAAAATTTTGTTAGATATGATGTTTATAGGGGTCCTTCATATCATGAGTATGTTGATCAAGCATATCAATCTTCAAAGAGGAAATCTCAACCATCTCAGACTTCCAAAAAGTAGCCACAATCAAAGAAACAACCAACTTCAAAGAATCAGTTACTCTTCAATTTCCTAATTAGGGTAGGTTACATATTGAACTATGTCATTGAGTTTTAATGCATATGTCTTAAGAAATGTGCAACAAGAAATACATGAGAAACGAATATTGTGTTAGTTGATACATATGAAAAGTATAACATAAATCAATGTGAACGAGAAATGTGCAAAGCCTCAAATAAATTAGCAAATTATGGGTTTTCCTCCTCAACACCAACTTGCCAGAGATAAAGATGAAGCAAAGTAGAAATGCGAGTTTAACTCGAATCAAATAGCCATGCTTCGTAAACATGAACTAGCACCTCTCTCGGTGCATCATTACCAGGTAATACAAGCCTAAGATGTTAAACAGGATGATATCACTCCAAATATCCAACACCAGTCTCATAAGGATTGGTGACCAGTGTTTTCGGACGGAACACAACATGGACAATGTGATGGTAACTAATCCACTCAACATCAATATCATCATCCACCATATAACCAGGAGGTGAGGGCAAAACATATTGCATGTATCCAAACTGACGTATACATATGACAAGCAAGTATGGAACAACTGTGTCACCCCACTTCAGACACCCCTTGTACAGACATAACTCGTCAAATTGGAACCATACTTTGTGATTCTCAAAAGGGATCCATATAACATCTGTAGATGTAAGATTGTCCAAAACTGGTCTCAACTCATCCACCTGTAAGAATCCTTGCTTATAAGACCATTTCATAGCTTGAGGAAGTCCACAATTATCAGATGGTTTCCAATTCTCTGCTCTTTTTTCAAGAGTTGAAAAATACTCATGGATCCAACATTGTTACAAAATTAAAATACTATTAATAAACAAATTTTATAAATTAAAATAAATAAACTTAATTAAAATAAATTCTTGTAATAGATTAGGATATCCACCGAGCTTCTTGGAAGTGAACATGGAAGCATCTCTGAGATATCTGTAGGGGGTAACCAACGCAATTGCTCCCTACTTGTATCATCCACATCTCTACAAGTCAGTAAATAGTAACAAATGTCGTGCATCGACAAGCATAAAAGTATTGTCAGAAAAAATTATGAAACCCACCAATATCATCATATACACTCTGGTCACACGGTCTCATCTACCAGTAGATCGATAACGTCTGAATAATTCGTGCAACCACTCCAACTTATAATAAGCACCCCTGTATGTATAGACATGTGGTTCTGCCTCATTATGTGTCACTCCTAAATAATCAATAGTAAGTTCAACAACAACTTCTTCAATGACATCTCGAGGGGTTTATAACACGCCCCTGATGGAAAGGTGAAGCAAACAAGAGATGTCATCTAGAGTAATGCTCATCTCACCAAATGATATGTGAAATGAAGATGTCTCTGGATGCCATCACTCTACAAATGTTGATATCAGATTTGTGTCTATCTTCGTCAAACCGGTTCTCTAAAGTGAAGATATACCCGACTGGGTCATCAACTATATATCTCTGGGAGGTGAAAATGAGGAACCCTTTATGTAAGCTTCTGCCCATGTCCAACAACCTCCAGCTCTTTCTTTGGACCTCTCTCCTGAAAATAATTAAAAGTATACATATTATATAACACAAAATTAAAATTTTAAATATTATTCAATATGAAGTAAATGTCATTTACTTACCTCACTGGAGCATAAATGTCTAGCAACAAGATGCTTGTACTTTACTAGAAGAGACGTAACGTACGACCCTCCTGGAAAGCCAACCGGTTGTGGTGCGGATGTAGATGCACCAATATTCTCTTCCTCACCTGCCAACATTGATGGAGTGCCTCGTCCTAAGCCACACTTTGGAATCATGTTGTCCCTTCTTCATGTTTGCACCACTGCCAAAATAACAAAAAACACATCAAAAAAATTTATAAAGAAAATTCAAAACCGGAACACATGTTGGAAAATATCCAGTATATTAAATTTTAAAACTACCAGAACATTTTGCATAAGAGTTTTGGTGAGTATTTCAACAAAACAGAAACACTTTAAAATTAACTTCCGGTGTGTAATTGTGCATCGGAAGAGCTCGTGAGTTTCGGTGATACAATAAAACCTGATCACTTACTGAATCAATTTCAGTTTGCAAGGTGTGTGTCAGAAGAGTTGTCACAAGAGTTCTGGAATACAATAAAATTTTGGTAAAAAACGAGAGTGAAGAAAAGTAAAAAAATTGAAAAATACTATTTATATGAAAGACATTTTAGTAAAAAAAAAAGAGTAAAATGATGGGGTGGATGATTAAATGTAGGGGTATGAGGTAAAAAATTTGCACTTAAGAAGTGTTTGTTGGGTGGTAAAAGTTGCGCCAAGTTTGCAAGAATCAACCGTATAATGGAAGCCCATTTGAAATATATGGTCCACACTCAATATTGGTATTCAACTTCGCGACCGACTAATCAAAAGATATCAATCCCACCTTCCACTTTTCGAGGGTCGTTTAAAGTTAGAGCAGGGCACTATATGGACTTATCCCAACACAAATATTATTAGGGGATTGTTGCACCCTAAAATTTGCTCAACCTTATTCACTTGGTATAGGTTTCAATATCATTAGCATTTGCATATAGAGTCATGTGCATAGCCTAACCATCTGCATAGCATAAGCATGGCAAGTCATTCAACAGGGGACCAATCATTATTCTCATTTCTAGAGGCCTATCAAGAGGTTATTATCCTGATTAAATTTCATTCAAGTCATCAGAAGAGAATTTGAAAGCTATCAAGTCAATGGATCAAGCAAGTGCATCCATCTCCTATCTGAGGGTCTCTGAGGATCAACAAGAAGTGTGAGTTGTGGGCTGAGCATGGAGAGTATGTAAGCATCATGAGAGAATTAGAAAGTCATGTGGAGAAAGAGACAATTCATTGAGGTGATCACAAGTATTGCAGTTGAAGACAGTCAACTAGGGTCTCATCTGGGTCAACCCTGGGTCAACTCTAGGTCAATTGATTGATTGAAAGGCATTGAGGTCTATTGGAGAGATGTGGGGTTCATCATTTGACATGTAAAGAAGGATAGGGTGATATGCCAAGGAGAATTCAAGAGAAATCAAGGAGAAGAGGAGTTTCCAAATTAGGGTTTCTGTGTAAAATCCCCTAGTTTAGGTCAAATTTCCAAGCAAAATAAGTCAAAATTCAAGCTTCAAATGGATCCTTGGCCAACATGAAACTTGTAGAGTATCTCAAGACCTTTAATTTGAGTGGTGGAAGACATCAAGGAGATTTATAGAACTCAAGTTATGGTCCTTGCAAGTTACCGGTCATCTGAGGTATCTGAAATTTTGTCTGTGAAAGTGACTTGACTTCCAAGCTATTGTTACCCCTCGAGGAGATTTCAAATGAATTTCTGGTCAACATAAGAATTGTTCCTCATTGTCTTAGCTTTCTAGAATGGTATGGTATGCCTTCATATGATTTGCGGAACTCTACTTATGGTCTTGGAAAGCAAAGGGTATTTTGGTCATCTGAGGATTACAGGTCATTCTTAGCCAATGCCTAAAACTCATACAAGGAAGCTTCAAATGAAAAACTTCCCAATATCAAAGTTGCTGAAAATGCCATTTTAAGTCAAGAAAAGAAGTCATGGAAGTTTGGAAATGCATAGAATGAGACTTGACCAAAGTTGGTGAAAAATGACCTAAAAAAGGCACATAAGTTGAAAAAGTTGAAATAAAAAATTGGTTTGAGAGATCTAAAAATCCAATATGGGTCATCCAATATACCAAATTGATTCCCAACATCATTTTAAAGACATTGGTTCAGCCACATTTTTGAGTTTAGGCTTAAAAATTGGACTTCCTTTGTAAATTTGTTTCTTGCATCATAAGGCAACATGGTAAAACTTAACACAAGGCAAGGAAAAGCTTGGTTTTTCATACATACACTCCTAATATCTCATGAAAGGAGATTTTAATACAAGTTTACAAAGGTACAAGCATGAGATAAGAGAATTCAAAATACCATCAAATGATAAGTTCATGAAATTTCCACAAGTTTCTAGATCCCTCTAGGACCAATCTAGAAGCTTCTCATTCTGTTAATCATCATCTATATAAGGAAATGAAGCCATTTGTGCATGGGTTGGTGATTCTTTGAGCTTGCAAACCCCATTTTGATTCCTTCACTCCCATTTGCATTTTCTCTTCAAACTCCATTGAAACTTCATCAATCATCTTAATTTCTGTTATCATCATCATCCACCATCATCATAGAGTAATTGGCAAAGAAAATTGAGAGGAACTCGTGGCTGGTTTGTGTGATCCAAGTTTTCACTCCAAGTTGCATGAAGAAGGGGATAAGGTGATTCAAGAAGTTTGAGCCACAACCATTGCAAACAGAAGAATCAGCATCCATTGGAGATCAATATTGGAGGTTAACAAGTCTTGAAGTGCAGCACAACTACACCTGCCATCATCAATTTGCAGGTATGCAAAACCATTCGAAACTCTCTGTTTATGCATTTCTAGATCATATGGTTAGGATCAACATGTTTAGAGACCCTAGGTGATTGATTTTTGAGAGATAGAGAGAATTCTGTGAAGTTCCATGGCAGGGTGTATTGACTTTGATGATCGAGGATAGGTTATATAATGAGTATTAATGAGTATGAAATGGTTTGAGGAGACCAGTGTAGCATGTAGAACAGCTTAGGGCCATTAGAGTTATATTTTAGCAAGGTCGAATTCAGTGTAACATGGAGGTACCAGGATCTTGAGGCTTTCTGTTTGGACGATACAAGGTGTTTCAATGAAAACTACACGTATGATCATGTTCCTGGTGATTGCTAGATCGTTTTTGGTCTTGGAATTTTTGATTTTCATTGAGAAGTGAGTGAGCACGATGATGGTGAAAACGCGCGCATGAGCATAGATTTCTGAAACCCTAGATGGCATTTGGGGAAGACGACCAGTGTCCGTTGGATTGTTTTTCTTTTTTGACTTTGAAGACTCATCCGAGGGCTGACATTGAAAGTAAGAAACAGAGGGAAAGTTTAAATCCTCAAAACGCAGCGTTTGATTTAGTAGCCAGTCTGGGCTCAAGTGCTTTTCGTGCCCCCCAACTTGCTGGGCCCAACGTGCATCAACTGTTTTTCTTACTTTTCATACCCCATTCCTTTTATTTCATTTTTTAATTTCTTTTCATTTTCATGCATTTTATAAAAATCATAAGAAAATGAAAACTTTATATTTTTTTATGATTCTTTTTGCATTAATTTCTTCAAGATGTCTAGAAAATTATAAAAAATAAAAATTGCATTTTATTTTTTATTTGATATTTTTCCCATATTTTCCAAATAAATGCCTATTTTAGGTGTTTCATTTCATACATGAATTTGTTGATTTTTGTTCTAATAGTTGTGTTAACATTTTTAATCCATTCTTTTTAGGTTGTTTAGTTTAGACATTCAACTTGTACATACAATTTAGTTCCTATTTTTAGGACTTAATTTTAGGAGATTTGTTTAGGTGTGAACAACATGACCAAAATTAGGGTTTAAGTGATGACTTAGGAAAATTGAATCATTTCCTTTAGGATTTAGAAATTGAAAGTTTGGGGTATGGGACTATAGGGACTATGGGTAGTTATTAGATCCCTTAGAATTCACTAGGATTCCCCTACTGCTATTAGTATATTACTGTATTTGATTGACTGGTATGGTGTGCCCTCTGGGGATTATTGTTTGTCTGTATGGGTATTGGGATTGCTTGGGGATTGGGGGAGCTGAAGACTTGTGATGATGAAGCCATTGGAGATCCAGAGCTTGAAGATCAACTTCCAGAGTTGATTCCTGCTAGCAGCTGTTGAGGAGATTAGGGCTTAGGAGCTAGGCAGAGCTCTAGATTAGAAAGCTTGATTCTCAAACATGGAAGGTTTTGACTGCCTCCATTCCTCTCTGTGATACAGTCTCTCTAAGACACTCACCCCCTTCCTTTGGAAGGCTTGGTGCTACTGTCTAAGAGATAGAACTCTTGAGAGAAAATGTCTTATGTGTTAGTAGCAGTTGGTTTACCACCCTTGGTAGTCAACTAATTGCTTAACACCCAATGCACTCTTGTGATTGATCCCTCAGCTTGGAGGATAGGACTTGAAGAAAAGTCATTGTAGACTGAAGATTGATGACAAAGACCTTGCTTGAAGGCTATGGAGATGGAGATTGATGTTTACTGAAGCTTGAAGTCAGAGGTTGTTTCAGAGTTGTTGATGCTGTTTATTTTTCTGCTGTATTTCATTTCTGATGTATTGATTGGTTTTCTGGACTGTATTGTTTGTTGTTTACCCTGTTGGGTTGAAAGTGAATGCTGTTCACTTTTGCCTATTGTTTTCTAGGTTCGAGGTTGAGTGGGACTCCCTTGCCTCGCTTGTATTGTTGCATCCATGCATTTTATTGCTTTACTGTATATATCTGCTATTGTTTCTGTTTCCGTCTACTCCCTTAGGATCTCTGTTTCTCTCTATGCAAGAGAGGAGCATGATAGACTTTAGGTCTTAACCCATGCATGATAACATTAGGTTAGTCTGATTCCCTTCGCAACTGTAGGTTAGAGTTTTGTCTCTTCATTCCTAAAAACAAACAGAAAAATACAATAGAATTTCAAACACAATAAAAGACACTTCTTCCGTAAAAGAATGTGAACTCATCAAGACGTCACTTTTGTCCGCTTAGACTGATAATCAGAAAAAACCTTTTTCAGAAGGAATAAAATCAACCAAGACAGACTTGTGTCGTACGTGGCCCGAACTACGTTTGCTCTGATCTTCCATGCAGTGTGGAAGTACGTAGGCATAGGATGTGATATCCTAGCGAG